TATTTTATTTAGAGAAAGGATCTCATCAAATTGCTTATGACCTCATCATGGCTGAGGCTGGCTTTGAACTCATGGTCCTCCTTCCTCAGCTTCACAAGTTGCTGGGATTTGAAGTGTGCACCACCATGGCTGACCCTTACATCTTCTTTATTCCTCTATCCCTCTTCATTGTGTGTGTGTTTTACTAAAGATTGAGCCCAGGGGTGCTGTAACACTGAACTACATCCCCTGAACTACATCTCCATTGCAGGTTTTATTTTGAGACAGAGTGAAGCTAAACTGCTGAGGCTGCTCTAGCAAGTTACTGATCTATTTTTTATTTTTTTGGTTGTTTGTTTTGTTTTGCTGTTTGTTAATGAAGATTTCTGAAATGTTTTTTTCAGAGAATGAGCTAATTATAGAGCTGGGACCTCCTGAGAAACTGAGGCAGTGAAAAGATCCCCTTGAACCCTTGATTCTTGCAATCACATCAGAAAGTTTTCAGACATGTCACCCTGTAACAGACATGAACTTCTTGAAGGGGAAGGGGACATTCTCAAGGGTGAGAGTGGGTCCTCTCAGAGAGCAGAGGGACACTGTGCCTCTTCTGCACTCCAGTTTTATTGGAGTCCCTGGGAAGTTTCCAGAGAGTCCTGCCCAGGTGCACCTTTTGACTTTTGACAGCAGGGTGACATCATACTTTCATCATACTGTACTGGCAACTCTATGTCACCTTGGCCCATGCTGAGCCATTCTAATTGGATTCTTATCCAAAGAATTATCTTTTCTTCCAAAATCTGGTCTGTGGAAAGAGTCACAAAATCTGTCCCTGCCTAGTAACTTGGGTTCCTCTTAGGGGGTTTCCTGCCTGCATTTCTCATGCAGATCACAGGTAGTTTGCTGAGGAATGTGACATCTCCTGTCCACTTAGGCCAGGCAGAGTTGCAGTAAATTGCTTTTTGGAAAAGAATGCACATGCAGGTCAGCACGGTGGGCCCCATTTTACAGGATTATTCTCTTAACCTTCTGTTCCCACCATTCTAGTGTGTGTCCCCTAAAAGACTAAGAGACACAGGTACAGAAAAAGCACAGCTTTCGCTGAGAGTCTTTCAGGATGGAACACCTGGGGGAGCAGGCAAGTTGCAGTCAGCATTTTATCCTCTGGTTCACAAGGTCCCCGCTTCTGACCCCAGTTCCTTGTTGGCAAAGTACTATGGGGTGTACCAAATTCCAGATCTTCACCTGGGTTTCCCACTGGGCGGTTTAAAGAAGTATGCTGCTGGGCAGAGTGGCACATGCCTGAAATCCCAGTAGCTTGGGAGGTTAATGCAGGAAAATTGCAAGTTTGAAGCAGCCTCTGCAGCTTAGTAAGGCCCTAAGCAACTTAGCCAGACGCTGTGTAAAAGTAAAAAAGAGCTAGAAATTTGGCTCAGTGGTTAGGCAGCCCTCAGTTAAATCCCTGGTATCAAAAACCCCACATGTTTGTATATAAAGCAATACACCATTAGTTGTCCCCACCTCCCTTTGTCCTTTTGTGCCAGGAAAGTCTTCTTGGATTGAGTGCATCTTGGACATAGACCGTTTTTACTTTCCTACATCAACACTGTTTCTTTCTCTCTTGGTCAGGGTGACCCCTCCCCTACCTCCTGTGTGTCCAGGGTGGTTCAGGTGCATGGACTCGGGATCTGCCACATCCACAGTCTGGGGCTGTAGGAGTAACTTTCCATTTTGCTCTACTTGCCCTCAGGCTGCCTTTCTTATGTCTCAACTCTACATTTAAGGCAACATACTATATTCTGAATATAGATCAGTGGACTTTTTATTTCTCACACCAAGTACATCTCATCAGAATAAGCGACACATTCATACTAACAACTCCAGCTAAATAGAAAACCATTATCCTACCTAGCTCTCCATCCTTCCACATACAGTTGTAAGTCCTTTTCTACATTCCATTTTTTGTATACTTATTCTTATACAGGTCATATCTCTAAAGTTACAAATTAAATAGTACCTGGCTGGAAAAGTTATTGCATCAGGAAATTCAAAATTCTAAGTCTTTTGAGGAAGTTAAAAGGATTCCAGTGATCTAATTAAGAATTTTGTTTATTATTTTTATTATTTATTTATTTATGGTGCTGGTGATTGAACTCAGGGGCACTTGGCCACTGCACCACATACCCAGCCATGTTCGGTATTTTATTTAGAGTAGGACTCTCATTGAGTTGCTTAGCACCTCATTTATACTGATGCTAGATTCCAATGTGCAATCCTCCTGTCTCGGCCTCCTGAGCCTCTGGGATTACAGGCATGAACAACCATGCTTGGCCTAACCCTCTCATTTGTCAGTTTCTTCATTTGATTTATAGTAGGTTAGAGTCACCATCTGGAGTTATTCTTGCTGCAGTCTGGCTGGGCACAAAATCACGAGCCACCACACAGCTTGTAGATTCAAACAGCAACTCTTTATTCCGGAACTCACACCAGCCGTCTACAATCACGTTCTGGGGAAATCCACATTCTCTGCCCAAATCCACACCCACTGGGCTTCTGTCTCCCAAAAAATACTGTCTGAATCCCATGAGAACTCAAGGGGAACTCAGGCAGCAGGATACGCCCTATTCCCAGCAGGAATAACCTTAAACCTGGAACCACCCTGAACCTAAACTGGGAATGCCCTAAACCCGGATCCGCCCTGGTCCTTGAGCAAGGTCACCTTAGATGCAATGTCATTGTAAAATGTCCTATTTCCATGAGTCCTTCCACTAAGCAACATGGGGCACACTGGCTAGGAAATTGTCATGCCTACTTGGCTAATGGCTCCCAGCATATTCTCTCAGGCCCATTAGAGTTATGCTCACACCCACCTTCTTTGAACCACAATAAAAGGGATGCTCAGAGGCAAAGTGTCCCTGCCCTCAATTCAGTCTCTACCATGGGGGACAATAAAAGCACCTGGAATTCAATTCTCAGCCCTGGGCAGCTATGTGCCCACTTTTCCACACCAGTGGGAATATGACTTCTTACACAATTGCCCCCCTTGGCCATGGGCAATATTGTTAGGTAGAATGAACTTGGGCCAGTGAGCAGGATGTGAAAGACTTCACAAAGCCCAACTTAAGAGCAGAGACTAAAATTGTACTTAATTTCTAAGAGGAGGGTAGACATGACAGGCAGTATTGGCCCTAAGTGGCAATTTTTTATGGTTTATATGCAAGGTTAATGGGCCAAACTGAGCAGGGTTTTCGTTTCTCTCTGGTTTGACTATCAGTTGAAACCCAGGAAGCTGAGATCGCTGGGTCAGCTTCTCGGGGTATGTTGCTTCCTAGGGATTGTGGCTTTTCTTGAAAAACTTGACATGGAAAGAATACACTGGAGGGGGACTTGTTCCTGACAAAGTGAGGTCAGTCTGTGCAATAGAGTGACATGTGTCAAGGGGGCAAGTGAGCGTGAGCTCACAGACATGTTATAAGACCACAGAGGCCTGAAGCTTAAATCCTACAGATAATACTAAATCCTAGATACAATTTCCCCTATGTTGAGAGCCACAGCCAAAGGGGCCCCAGCAAACTTCCAGCTGCCAGCAAACTTCCAGCTGCTGGCTGATGATTGGCTCACAGCGGCCCCAGCAACATCTAGCTGATTGGCTCCTCGGCCCCAGCAACATCTAGCTGATTGGCTCCTCTGTGGTGATGCTCATTGGACTGTTTCCCTGCCCTTTCAGACCACGGAGCTGCTCATTGGGGGACTTTTTTGGCTCCGCCCACGTGACCCAGCCAATCGGCCTCAAGAGCAGGAGGATTGTGGGAGGTGGAGAGAAGCTTGTGTGGGAGAGAGAGGCTTGGGGAAAGCCGGTGGTGGCAGTTGAGGCTCTGAGGGTTTTTCCTGAGAGACTATTTTGTTTGTCTGTGTGTGGTTCTAAAAATAAAGTTAGTTTCTTTTGACAAGTGGCTCCTGATTGTGCCCAGCCAGACTGCGGCACCCCTATACATACATGCCTATGATTACCCTTTCTAAAAAACCTCAAAGTCCTTGTCAGCACCTGAAGACAGCATAAGGGCAGGGTTTCCTTGTCTTCCTGGTGTAGCTGCACTGGTCAAAGTTTCTTTCCTGCTTTGCATCATGACCTTTTCTGTTTGATATTGGGGCATACACCTGACCAGACCTGGATCCCCAGAGTCAGGTCTCTGCATAAGACTTCCTAACAGTCAAAGTAGAACATCTACACTAAGCACAAGGCACCCATTTTATTTCCACCACACATTGCTGCCCTAGAGGATTGCCTTCCTTCCTCCCTGAGGACCCTCTCTGCTGGGGATGGAACCCTGAGCATCAGAGCCAACCCCAATTGCTTCCTTTCATAGCTCAGGCTGCCTCCTCAAAGCAACAGAGGCCAGGAGGTGAAGAGAATTACTAAAATAGTTTTCAATTTTAGATATTATGTATGGGTCATACATATGATATCTTTAAATAGTGTTTCAAAAATTTGGAGACTGTGTCTTTCTAAGTCTCTTGAGGTTACATCAGCTGGAAAAATAATATATATCACATAGTTCTTTCTTTTTCTTTCAGGTACTAGGTAATAAACCCAGTGGGGCTTGACCTGGACCTCTGAACTACATCCCCACCTTTTTCATTTTATTTTAAGAGAAGGTCTCACTGACCTTGGGCTCCTCCAGCCTCAGCATCCCAGAGAAGCTGTGCTTTGTTTTTGTGTTGAGGTTAAACCCAGGGCCTCGCCATGGCCAGAAAGCACTCTATGGCTGTTTTACATATAAAGCAGTCCCACATATCACCTCTGTACCAGAGGCTAAGCCCAGGCTTCCGACCTGGATAAGTTCCCAGCACAGCGGGGAAGCTCCGCCTGAAAAGGGCTGGGGCCAAGAATCTGTCACTAACCCAATTTCAGTCAGTTATTGGATGATGTTAGCTGTCAGTCACGATGCAGAGGCGGGCCTGGAGGCCATCCATCAAGGACGATGGGAGGAACTGTCCAATCGGTGCGCAGAGGAAGGGGGAGGGCGGGCTTCCGCAGTCTCACGGGCTTTAATTCCTTAACGACTGGGCTGCTCCTTCTCCAGCCGAGTTCTCTGCTCCAGTAACCCAGGTGATTCTGCCGCTCCCTGTGTCCTTGGGGATCTCGGGTTCCCGGAGGTTCCTCCAGAAGACGCCGGACACAACAGAAGCCAAACATGGTGAGTTTCTGACCAGGGCTGAAGGTGCGGGGTCAGCATCTGCCTTGGGGCCTGGCGCGCGGCTGAGCTTCGGTGGGCGGAGGAGTCCACGCTGGCGGGTTGCCCTGGGCCCTGTCCCCTGGTTCCCTGGGTTTGGAAGGGCGGCTCAGGGCCTTGGTGTCCCCTTTGCTCCCTACTGGTGGCCCACACCCACTCTTCCCAACGTGGAGGAAGCAGGGCCACACATGCACCCTCCTTCTCCCAGGGGAGCTCCTCCGGAGGCTGCTGTAGGTTCCCCAAATTGCAGGCGCCTCCTGCCTTCTAAACCCTCCTTCCCTCCAACTCACAGCTCGGCCTGACGTTCGTTCTTCCCACTCGGTTCAAGTTGACACCGTCTGCTAATTTTCACTTTTCATCTAGTGAAATATTGAAAAGAATCTTCCTTTCCTCCCTCCCTCCTTCCCTCCCTCTTCCCCCCTCCCTCCTTTCCTCCCTCCCTCCTTCTCTCCTTTCCTCCTTCCCTCCCTCCTTTCCTCCCTCCCTCCTTCTCTCCTTTCCTCCTTCCCTCCCTCCTTTCCTCCCTCCCTCCTTCTCTCCTTTCCTCCTTCCCTCCCTCCTTTCCTCCGTCCCTCCTTCTCTCCTTTCCTCCCTCCCTCCCCAGCCATAACTTGTGATCCTCCTGATTCAGCCTCCCACATATCTGGAATGACAGGCCTGTGCCACTGTCCCTGGCAAGTAGAACACTTTTGAAAGCATTTGTTTTCTATTTGTGAATATTATACTTGAGGGGAAAGAATAATCACTTAACACTTCCTTGTGTTTGGTCAAAATAACTGCTTTAAAAGGAATAAGGTCGTTGTTTATAGATCCCAGGGATATGGAATCCTGGGCTTCATCAATAGAGTATAACTGCTCCCTTTTCTGATAGTCCATGATGTAGAGTCACCCCAGTCGTGTAGTCACGTAAGCACACAGGGTAATACTGATGTAGGGACAAAGGAGGCTAGGCACTGGAGATAGCCAGAAACAGTTTTATCTGGCTGCAGCCAGTCTCAGAGGGCACAGCTTTTGCTGTAATCAATCAATCCATCCCCTGAACCCCAAGTTCAGGTGGTTTCAGAATCTTATACCCAGCATGTAAGGGGAGGGGCTCAGAAGTTCACATTGTAATACTGAGACCCTCAAATAACTCTCAGACCACACAGTCTCATTCCAGTTAAGCCTTTATTGGTGGCCAGTGGCAGACACCCTGCTCTCGAAACACTGAGATGGTCAGAGTGGTGCCCCTGCCTTCAGTTGGCTCCATATTTAAGCAAAAAAAACCACAAAAGGGATGTTTGGAGGTTCAGGCAATGCCAGCAAGCCGGAAAGTTGTGGTCAGTTAGTCTGCAGTTGGCACCATAGATCATTCTGTGTTCTTGGGGGATTTTCATGAACAAAAGAATGCAAACTGCCCCAGTCATGACCTTTTTGAGTGTCATGGCTAAGTTCACAAAATGGAGTCACCATAGTCAAGTTGTCACATCACACACATAAAAGCAGCTTTTTCTTTCACTGTTCTGGGCCAAGTTAACCCTTCAAGGATAGCACCTGAGAAGGGGAGAGCTTCTTCTCCCCTTTTTTTTTCCTCCTCTACCAGCTGTTATTATGGAGCCTAGTTGGTGACTTCTCTGTGAAGCCCAGCTCAAGGCCAGAGGCCTTGTTTGCACATTTCTATGAACTACTATACTGGACACAAGTGTGTAAAAACTAGTAAGGGGAGTTCAAGTCCAGCACTTGGAGTGCTAATTTCTCCCATGCTAGCAGCCCCGTAAAATAGGGCAACACGAAAATAGGAAGTTTATCTACACTGAACTTTTTTGTGGACACTCTTTTGTTGACAGTCCTAAAATTAGCCATGGTGAAGATTTCTGGAGAAACCCAGTTAACATTTTCTGTGAAAAAAGGGGATGCCACTACAATAATGTCTGATTCATTTACTGTCCTTCATCCCCAGCTCTTTTCAATATGATTTTTAGAAAGGATCTGGGTATTTTTCCCAGCCTGGCCTGAAAGTTGTGCTCCTTCTGCCTCAGCTTCCAAAGCGGATGAGATTAAAGGCACTGACCACCCCAGCTACAGAAAATAGTTCATTTAAACCCGTATATTAATGACCATACTAAGGAACATGGATTCAAGTTACCTGAATGATGTGTGTGTCCCTCTTTTCTTTCTTTCTTTTCTTTTCTTTTTTTTTTTTTAATATACCAGGGATTGAACCCAGGGCCGCTTAAACACTGAGCCACATCCCCAGCCCTTTTTATATTGTATTTTCAGATATGATCTCACCAAGTTCCTTATGGTCTCACTAAGTTGCTGAGGCTGGCTTTAAATATAGCAATCCTCCTACCTTAGCCTCTCAAGCTGCTGGGATTACAGTTGTGTGCCACTGTGCCTGGCCTACATGAACTTTTATAAAAGGAACTTGTATATCACTACATTAACCAATTGCATTGGTAGGAACATCAGATTGATGGGGTACAGAAAATAAAATAAAGAAAATTTCTTCTCTATGTCTGTTATTGAATTCTGAGCTTTGGTAGATTTTGGAGACTAGGCATCTGGTAAGGTTAGTGATATATTCTGAGAAGTTTCGAGAATTGTGGTCTGATACAGAAATGAAGATAATTGGCTATGAAAGGACTTAAGATAGCCCAAGATAATTTTTGCGCTCCATACAGAACCCTGCCTTTCCACCCTCATGATTGTCTGGTTGGCCGAAGTCAAGTACTCTGAAGGTTCTTTGATGTAGATGCAAATGTATAAAGAACTTGAGTGCACAGCTTCTTTTATCTTCCTTAGGTGTAGACACCGTGTCAGATTTCTTGGGCAGAAGTTTCTTTTGGAGGCCTCTCAGGGTCCCATGTCCTGAGCAACTAACCTCTCCTGGAGCTTCCACAAAGTGCCCACAGGTGCCCTGTGCCCTGCAGGGTGAACAGAACTTCAGGCCCTGGGCCAGCTCCTCCTAGGGGACAGCCTGAGGTGTGGGGTGCAGCCTCTCAGGGAAGTGGCTGGGGGTTTTGGGCTGAGGAATCTCCTGGAACAGGCCTCATCTAGACAGCTACTTCCTTGGGACCTTGTTTTTCCCAAGCTCTGTTCCCATTCCTTGGAGAGAGGTGGCCAGTCGGCCTGTGGATGCTGGTGCTGAGGGGCCAGGTCACCAGTGATTCCTGCCCTTTCAGTCTCTGACAGTGTGAAGGAGTGAAACCTCTCCCAGAGCATAAGGACCACCCACCCCAGTGCAGAGCTGTGCAAACCTGAAAAGCCTCTTAGAGTGGAGTCATGGTCCAGGTCTCTTGGAGGGTGATCCTGAAGGTTTTCAGTGGGCAAGACCAGGAGGGAGCATGTCCCAGCTGTCAGGGACCTTCCCTGTCCCTTGAGCCTGACACATGTGTGCTCCCTCAGCACCAAAGCTTTCTGTGCATCACTTTGAAATGATGTGCTCACTTATCTGAGGCCCAGGTTTATTTATTCAGAGCCACATGGGATGGACTATTATATAAGAGGTTGTGAGGGGAATGGGAAAATAAACAAGGAGAGAAATGAATTACAGTGGATGGGGTAGAGAGAGAAGATGGGAGGGGAGGGAGGGGGGATGGTAGAGGATAGGAAAGGTAGCCAGAATACAACAGTTACTAATAGGGCATTATGTAAAAATGTGGATGTGTAACCGATGTGATTCTGCAATCTGTATTTGGGGTAAAATTGGGAGTTCATAACCAACTTGATTCTAATGTATGAAATATGATATGTCAAGAGCTTTAAATGTTTTGAACAATCAATAAAAAAAAATTTAAAAAAAAAAAAAAAGATGCAAGAGAGAAGTGGATTTTAAAAAGTCTAGTTACATTTCCATTGTTAAAAATCCCAACTTATAACCAGGTACAGTGGTGCTCACCTGTGATCCTTCCTGCTCCACAGGCTGAGACAGGAGTGTTGCAAATTTGAGGGCAGCCTTAGCAACTTATCCAGGCCTTATGCAACCTGGTGAGACTGTGTCTCAAAATAAAATATACAAATGACTGGGGATGTGGATCAGTAGTAAAATGTCTCTGGTTTTCATCTCGGGGGTATCAAAAAAGAAAGAAAGAAAAGGAAAAGAAAACACCTAATTACCTAATGTACCTTTTGCTACCCTTGAGTGTGTACACAAAGTTGGTAAGATTCAATCTTGTCTTTTCAGTGATTTCAAATTGAAATCCAACCCTAGATTCCAAAATGCCATGTAAGCTACAGAGAAACTCTGTCTTACATTATTGCTGCAGAATTTGAGTCCAATTCTACCAAAATAGTGGTGGATAACTTATGAATGAGATTTCATGAAAACTAGTATCTGTCCTTCACAAGGTGATGACAAAGGATGACAGTTTTTCACTGTTGTTGTCTGGACTTGGCAGGTTCATGTTAACTGTGTTTTTTTGGTATCAGGAATGGAACTCAGAGTTGTTTATCCACCAGCCCCTTTTAGATTCTTTGTTTTGGTACAGAGTCTTGCTACATAGCCGAGGGCCTCAGACTCCTGAACTACTGGGGTTACAGGTGTGCACCATCACACCCATCTTCATTGTAAAGTTTAAGGACAATTTTGGCAATACCTGAAATACCCAAGTATGATCATTTAATCACTGAATATCAGTGAATTAGTAAATGACACTCACTTTCTGGAAAGGGGAAATACATGTGTCTAAATAAGGGTGCTGATCCCCTCAAGAGCACTCCCACTATGTCACCTGATTCCTGTTCCCTCCTAAATGCATCATCCTAGGGTCACCCCTTTGGGAGCTGGCCTTTTACCTTATGAAATTTGGGAGCAACATAAATGCTCTCTCTACTCTCTCTGTCCTGTACAACATTTTGGCTGGTCTTAGATACAGTATTATTTTTTAGATGTAGTTTTTCTTATGTTTACCTCCAAAATACAGTAAATCATGCCCTAAATTTCACAGAATTTACTGAAATGCTCTGTGTTTTTTAGGAGAGTG